TTTCTGCATGTCTTTCAAAACTAATTTAGCGATTCGACAAATAAACTTTCACCTTTCCTCAGCTCCATGATCAGATTCCTGCACACTTCGCGGTGTTGTGCAGACCAATACGTTATCGTCATGGATCTAAAAACCGCACAAGTGAAATATGCGCCCGGGATATCTCTAATGTACGATTTGGTGTCCAAAGGCGTTCAAAGGTACTTCCTTCAGACGCATCACTACTTTTGTCCACCTGTTGGCCACGGCCTAGTGTGGGCTGCGGGGCCGATGCTGCGCCGCCTAAGGAGACCGCAGCGTCTGGTGTCGAGGTTTTTGTCTAAGATATGCGCGCGCGCATGCTCAAAACTATGTTATGTAGTTTGTACCACTAATTAATTCTGACTGAGTGTTGAAGATATCCAGACAAAGATGGACTGGCAATGTTAACAAATTGTACAAATGTACGAAGTGCTAAAATGTATAAAGCGCTAAAATGTACAAATTGTAGCAACTAAATGTACAAATTGTTGACCCGTTTTGATCTTCAATCTACATTCGCGTAATCTTTGTGATATCTGTACAACTCAGGTAAAAATTCCGACAAAGGTTCTGAGTCCTATTGGTTTTAAAAAATAGTCCATCGGATCACTGTTTAATGAAGAGCGCCAGTTGTTCATTTAATACAGTCATCTAGCGCGTGATTTTGTCAGTTTATGTACAATCAACTCAAGGCAGAATTGATCTCGCGATAGCGTCTTGCCTATCTTCCAGATAAAGAATGAAGAAAGGGGTAATATATATATATATATATATATATATATATATATATATATATATATGTGTATATGGTCTATTGTCCTGGTCTGATAAGTCCCAATCTATTGCAACCTAACAGAAAAAAATACTTTGGCGCCGCAGTGGACGGCACAAAACATTCTGAGAAATCGTGTAGATAATAGCTTAAGGAGCTGCCATGAGCGGAACAATTTTCCTTTAGGTATTGCCATTGATGTACCCATAGCGAACATACTAGAACTGCTACGCCAGTTGCCACCATGAACCCTCATAAGGATTGTAATGTTTCAGTGTTGAAATCACCAGGTTTAATGGATTAGAATATTCCCTGGAAAATGCTTGCACTTTTTTTCAATAAAATAAAGCGAAAATGGAAAATAAGGGAAGTTATAATACCTTTGTCCGTTGCGCGGCTGACAGAAGTGTTACACTTAGTGAATCTGAAGGAAATGTGAGCATTGCATGATATTGAATACAACACAACTATATTTTTTAATGATGGGCTGTGCTTCTAAATGTTTTTGTTTTTTTGCTGGAATCCTCGCTCCATGTGTTTGAGGGCTCGCCCAATTTGGAATCTATTGGATGTATTCCAAACCCACAAATGCGACCTCTCAACTACAGTGCAAGCCCTGGTTTCCTCATGGTAAAGGTTTGCCGTTCATATCGCCAGCCGCTCACTGATAAGTGTCCCAATGATCCACGGATCCGTTAGCCTCTATCATCCGACCGTAAAACTTAGCGATTCAAACTCTGGTCACGTCTCATGGCTGAACAGAGTGACATGCCAGTTGGACTAAGATAACCAAGGGGGTGTCACTTTATAAATCTCAGTGGGACTGGGCTCCCCTCCCCTACCCCAATACATATGAACACAAAAGGGTGCGATGGGCCAATGAAATCCAGCAAGTGTGTTGACTGCTGGTTACACTAGGTATCGGAATGCCATCATTATCAATATCATAGTCATCATCAAACACCATAATTGTATGTCAATATGCAATATGTCATTACGATGTTGTCATCACCGCTATCACATCAGCTTCAAGTGGGAAGTTCATGCTGCAGCATCAAAATAATTTTGAAACCGACCAAATAGCTCTTAGGTTTTAAATGTATATCGGGGGTGCAGATTAAAGTGGCCAGAAATCTGGGGAGAAATCAGGTTTTGGGGCAGGTCAGGTCACCCTTTGGCTCCGTCCCCCCGCCGATTTTAGAAAGTGATACCCCTGATCACAGATCATTTCTTCTGGCTGCATTCATGCGTGTGATGCAAATCATCCATTTACACACTGGCCCTGCTACGTGTAAACAACAATTGCAGGAAGCGTGCCTTACTTCCGTTGATAGTCGAATCCAAAGTCTGGGAAGTTCATCTTCGAAATACGTGCACGTGCAATTTTGAATATCACGATCACATCCTGGCAATGCGGCTCGAGGCCGTGATACTTCGTGCAAGAATAGGCGCGCCGAACAACGGTAGTAAGCTTGTGGACAACTGACGACAACGAAGCCCACACGAAGACGCTTTTGCGCGGGAGCGCCTTAGCAACAATGAGTTTGGCACGTGCCAGTCTCGCGCAGCCTCAGCGCGGATGAAAATCGGACTCAGTTTAAAGCCCAGCCACTCAAAATGAGAGCTGATGTATGCACCGTGTCGAAAGTATTACCAGCCAGACGACAGATTAGCAGGCGCAGGAAGTGACAGGAGGCAGTTCCATCAGCGGGCAACAATTACGTGTCTTCTTGCCGCCACACCTTATAATCGGCGGCCGCGTTTGCTTTGCAATGCCAGCCCCATAAGTATTCAGTCTACCAGAAGGAACTGATGGTAGCGGGAATTGACAAAAGCGCTACATCTGGAGACGTGTCAATGCAGCTTGCTTCATCATGAACACATATTGTCACTTCAGTGTTCGCAAATCTGTTGTGCAGTTTGTGGAACAGTAGTCGAAGCGCTGGATCGATGAAAATGGTTTTAGGGAAACACCATAGATGCTGCTGATATTTCGGAGTGAAATTTTCACTTTTTTTGTTTGTTGACATTTCTAATGAAGCATAATGTCGGACACCCAATTTGACCTGAATGGGGACTGCCGCTGGATCGCGCCTAGCCTCTACCGTGAGATCGGCCCATCGTCGGGTCCGATGCAGCCTCGAGCCGGGTGGTGCGGATGCGGCCCGTCACCCACCTCAGCATAGCCTCGAGCATGTCAAATGACCTGCACTGCTGTACATGAAAAACTGCTATTCCTGTCCAATTCTGAGCCGGCCTTCCCTCATGATTCGCGCGTGGTTCACCCCTTAACATGCGCTCGGTTGGGGGTCAAATCGACATACCCCCCGAAGGTGTTCCAACAATGGTTTCCGAACGGCTCGGCGTAGCCACGCCAAATTTTGCATAGCTCTAGAAAATTGCATAGCGGATCGTCTGACATCAAAAATTTAGTTGCACTTTGTAAAATTGCTGACCTGTGGCAGGTCAAAGTCAAGCCATGGTCTCAGCGAAGGCACGTTCTAGGGAATCGTTCAATCCGATCAAACACCTGAGTGGTGGACAAAGTCATACATTTCTGAGACACTTTCTTTGGCGACACAACAACTAAATGAACAAATAGCATGACCTAGGGTCAGTTATGAAAGTCAGACCAAGGTCAAAACCAATCTGTTTTTTACTTTCGGGCTTGCTGTATGGGCTGGTTTCTGGCGTTCATTTTGAATATATTGATAGCAGGAACAGCATTACACATCTTTCATAGACGTTTATACGTCAGAATAGGTCACTGACGTAAAATGACCTAGGTCGGCATTTTCCTTTTAGGAGCATAATGCCTAGCATAATCTTTGTCGCTTATCTAAATGCGCAACTTAAAACAGTCTCGTATCATTTTGGTCATCATGACCTTTAAAATGTCAAACAATGTCACTGACGTTAACTGAACGTGTGGCATTTTGCTTAGAACAGCTGCCTAGCTTTGGGGGCCCTTTGGAGACCAATCTGGACATTAACCTTGTTTGACCTTATCTGACCCGAAGGTCATGACGTAGGAACTCCAAACTTTGACCTAAGTGAGTTCACGTACAGTTCAACACACACTGTAAATTTTGTCTCTCTAGCTCTCCTAGCTATAGGAGCTATACCTAACGGAACCCATTAAGTTGCATCCCTTCGATGTTTCCCTTCTGCCGGGATTTCAAAACGGTTGCTGGTCTGAGTGAGCGGAGTCTAACAGTTAGGTATCGTCGGCATGTAGCACT